AGATTCTTGGCATTTGGATTCTTGACTTTTCCATGGTGCAGGGAGGGCCGTGGAAGGGAATTTGAACCATCTGGGCAGGGACCCGGCTGCCCTGAGCTCAGGGGCTCTTTCTGTCCTGGAGACTCTTCTCCACAGGCAGGTTGGCCCAGGGCTGAGGCGAGGCTTCAAGACACTTATTGGGAGAGTGGCAGTGCAAGGACCGGAAGCAGCTCAAAATTTCAATTTGTATTTCTGATGAGATTTCCCTAGTCATCACCGTAATGAAGACAGGGCTGCTGGGGCTCCAGGGATGTGCATGCTGGTTTAATTACTCTTGGCTTCTGGCTCTGCCTGGGAATGGTCCTGCTGTCTTGAGCTTGCTCTCCTTGGGCCTCTAGCCCTGGCTCCAGGCCAGGCTCTACCTCTGTCCACCTCCCACTTTTCTGGCCCATAAATACTGCTCTACTTATGTGCTGGCATGCCCATCTGTCCATCCATTTGGGCATGCATGCATGCAACCATCCATCCACCCACCCATCCATCCACCCTCCCACCCACCCATCCATCCATCCATCCATCTATCTATCCATCCACTCATCCATCCACTCACCCATCCATCCATCCATGCATCCATCCATTCATCTATCCATCATCCACCCATCCAACCAGCCGTCCATCCACTCATCCATCCACTCACCCATCCATCCATCCATGCATCCATCCATTCATCTATCCATCATCCACCCATCCAACCAGCCGTCCATCCACTCATCCATCCACTCACCCATCCATCCATCCATGCATCCATCCATTCATCTATCCATCATCCACCCATCCAACCAGCCATCCATCCAACCACCCACCTACCCATCCATCCATCCACTCATCCATCCATTTATCCATCCATTCATCCACCCACCCATAAATGCATTCATCCATCATCCATCCATCCACCCATGCATCCATTCATCCATCATCCATCCACCCACCCACCCACCCACTTAAACATGCATTTACTTACACATCCATCCATCCACACATCCTCTCACACTACAAATGTTCTTCTTGAACAGCTCACATGTACCAGGCCAGGGCTGGAGGTTGGGGTGGGGAGAGATTCAAGAAGCAATGGTCAGACACTGTCTATCCTTACAAAGCTACAGTCTGGTGGGAGCGGCAGATGAGAAAACTAGCTGCATCCATCCACGTGGGGTGGGTAGGGTGAGGGTGGCACAGGGGAGAGGGTGGCATGGTGACCAAGAAAGGCTTCCTGGAGGACAAGCAGCTCAGCTCTGAGTCTGGAGGCCCTGCTTGCTGGGCCAAACCACTTCTCCCTGTAGCGCCCCCCAGTTTGGTGCAGAGAACACAGCACAGAGAAGCCTGTGTAGGCCGCCCACATGGGGCTTGTGCCACCAGCCTGCCCACCAGCCATCTGCCTTGTTCCTTCCCTTCCTCGAGCGCCAGCCCCTGGGCTGCCGGCTCCCACACAATCACCAGCTGCACACGTGGGCCCTGGACTCCTGCCGGAAGGGAAAGCTGGGTGTCTCGTGTGTGAGTGGAGTAGGGGCTAGGCCCATCCAGCCCGACAGGACCCGTGGGGCACTCCTCCGGAGCACCGCCCTTTACAGTTTGCAAGGTGCTTCTCTATCCAGTGTTTTTCCAGTTCTAGTGACACCCCTGGGAGGTGGCGAGGCAGTTTTCACAGAAGGGGACACTGAGGATTAAGAGTCGGTGACTTGTCCACAGGACAGACCCCTGAGGAGGGGCTGAGCTGCCTTCTCTGCAGACTGGGTGAAGGTTCTACGAAGCCCGCCTCACACGGGGAAACAGGGTGGAAAGGGAGGAGGCAATAGCTCCATAAACTGACAGCACTGGCCGAGGGGTGGGTGTGTGTGTGTGGCTTCAGCTTTTGGGGTGGACTTGCGTCCCTTAATGGGGCGCAGAGTCAAAGTTCACCAGTGGAACAATGACTCCATGCATCCAGTTGTCTTCCTTACTTTTGCAAAGAATATTGTGTGTGTGTGTGTGTGTGTGTGTGCGTGCGTGCGCACGCGCACGTTGTTTACATACCAGTCCCTCCCTAAGCCCGGGGAAGGCATTCACTCACCCAGCATCAATGAATCTGTTTTTCTGCCATTCCTGCACACACGTTTACAGAGCTCCTACTGTGTGCCAGGCCCTGTGCCAGGTGGGGGTTTACTACAGGGTTTCTGGACCTCGGCACTGGTGACATTTTGGGCCGGACATTTCTTTATCCCTGATCGGGACAAATGGTTAAGCCCTCAACTACTAGCCGCCAAGCTGGCGGTTTGAACTCGCCTGGAGGCGCCTGGAAAACCCTGTGGAGTACAGGCTCACCATGAGTCGGAATCGACTAGGCGGCAACCATTTGCTGTTGCTTCTCTTTTGCAGGAGCTGTCCTGTGCATTCTAGGATATCAAGCCGTGTCTCTGGTCCCTACATAGGCGTGACAATCCAAAATGCCTCCAGAAGGCGAGATGAGAAGGCAGAAAAGGACAGGAGCTGGCTGAACGGACATGGGAAATCCGGGGTGGAAAGGAGGCGTGAGCTGTCACAGTATTTGGATAGCAACTAGGGTCACATAACAGTGTGTATACATTTTTGTATGCGAAACTAACTTGAGCTGTAAACTTTCACTTAAAGCACAATTAAAAAAAATAAAAAACTTCAAGCAAAAAAAAAAAAAAGCCTCCAGACCGTGTCACCAGTTTGCTGTGTGCTGTGGTGCCCAGTGGAGAGCTGATGGTCGCAGCAGGGGGCAGGGCAGACCCCCTGCTGCCTTCACAGAGCCCCACCCCCATCAGTGGGGGAGGCAGACTTGTCCACAGGATGGCGGTGCTGCAGGGCAGTGTGTGATGGTGGAGGGGCCAGGAGCTGCAGGTGAGTCACGGGAAGGCCCCTTGGGGAGATGTTTCTCCGCTGACCAGGGCAGCCCCCGGGGCGGTATGCAGATGAAGGGGTGGGGGAGGAGGCCATGTGGGGGAGGGGCTTGCCTGAGGCCTAAAGAAGAGGGAGGGGGCATGGGATGGGGTGGGGGTGGGGCCGGACAGGGAGGGGCGGTTCAGAGGTGAGGCCCGTCAGTCACTGGGGCGGGGGTTGGGGAGGTGCGGGTTGGGGGAGAGAGGAGGCCCATTTGTAGTTGGCCTGTGGGCTGGCTGAGGAGGGGCTGGACCTGGAAGGAGGGCTTGGAGAGGGGGTCTTGGGCAGCTGGGGGAGAGTAGAACCTTGGCTGAGCTGGGAACCCAGGGGTCCCTGGGTTTCAGGCATGATTATCCTACGTAGGGAGGGGACCCCCAGCCCAGAGAGGGGCAGGGACTTGTCTAGGGCCCCCAGTGCCTCCACCTGTCTCCCCGTTTCCCAACCCCAGACCACTCCAGCTCTGGGAGGCCCCTGCCTGGCCTCTTCTGGATGAGATCTGAGCAGGCGGGGCCCAGGGGCAGCCTGACCCTGGACAGATCACTGAAGGTGGTCGTTGGAAGCCCAGACTCAGAGCTTCATTAAAAAAACTCAAAGCCCCGAGGACGGGGCTGGGCTGGGCTGGGCTGACCTCGGAGGTGGGCGGCTTCTGTCTGGTCAGGGGGCCGGGTTTGCCTCACTGGGCCTGGGCCTGGGCTGGGCCAACCTGTGCCCACGTGGTGGGTCCCTGAGCACGGGGCTGCCCTGGCAGGTGGAAGACTGGTTGGACTTGCCTCATGGGGGCTAGGAGCAGCGGGTGGGGGCCTCCACCGTGCTTGGCCTTTCTCCTCTACTGAAGTAGGGGCAGATGGAGGGCAGGGATCTCTTCCACGCTGGGGGATGTGGGGAGGAGGCTCCCAGCCATCAGCAGAGCGGGGGCCAAGTAGAAGCTGTGCTGCAGGTTCTGGAAACATCCCGGCCCCTGGGCCCCAGGTTCCTCTAGTTCTAGTTCCTGCTGCCCCATCTGCCCCTGCCCTCTCCCCCATGAACAACATCTACAATTCGCTGAGTTGCTTCCACCTGGCACGCCCCTCCCCACCCTGGGTCTCAGGGCCCTATCAGTTCCCTCAAGCCCAGTGAACGCAGTGGTGGGGGGTGTCAAGGAGCACATCCTGCGATGTGAGTTGGAGATCATCTGTGGCCTTGGTCCCAGCCGGGGTCGGTTCACGGCCGGTTGACCCAGCCAGGTGGCCTGCAATTCAGTTAATGCTTGCCTGTCGCCATCTTGAGAGGAGTCAACCATTTTTGCCAAGGGCCCCACATTTTTACGTTGCAGTGTTCCCCGCAAATTCTGTAGCTGGTCCTGTCCCTGACAAACGGGCAGAGGCTGACTGGGTTGGGGTGCAGTGGGGTGGTCTTTAGTCCAGCCTTGTGGGCCCTATGTTTCCCCTCCGTGTCCCCCCACCCCTGTGTCCTGCCGTGTCTTCCCCTGTGTCCCACAGTGTCCCCCCTCTGGCATCCCGCTGTACCTCAAGAGGACAGAGCCATCAGGGAGGCCATGGTTGTGGTGCCCAGTTGGTCACATTGCAGCAGGGAGGACCTGAGCTTCCTCCCCAAGGCAACCACCTGTCTTGGGCACCAGAGGAGCAGGTATGAGAAGCCAGGCTCCAGGGCCCCATCCCGAGAAGTCCCTCAGGTCTGCAGATGCTGCCACCTACAGGTGAAGGGTGTCTTCCTGTCCTGGCGGGTGAGAATAGAATGCACAGCCTCCCAGGAGGCACCTGCTTGGCACTCTATGTGGTGCCCGGGCCCGGGGGATGCAGGGGCGCCTTGCTGGGGACTAGGCTTGGCTACAGAATATTCAGGGCCCCATGCGAAATGGAAACACAGGGCCCTTGTTCAAAATTAAGAATTTGGTGGCGATGTGGAGAAATTAGAACCCTTGTACATTATGATGGGAATGTAAAATGGTGCAGCCGCTGCGGAAAACAGTTTGACGGTTTCTCAAAAAGTTAAACCTAGAATCACCATATGGCCCAGCAATTCCACTCCTAAGTGTGCACCCAAGAGAAGTGACAGCAGGGACTCAAACAGAAACCTGCACACCAGTGTTCCCTGCAGCACGTTTCCCGAGAGCCAAAAGGTGGAAACAACAGAATGTCCATCAGCAGGTGAGTGGATACACACAATGGGTCTATACCACAATGGACTGCTGCTCAGCTATAAAGACCAATGAAGTCCTGTCACAGCCACCATGTGCATGAACCTTGAGAACATTACGCTGAGGGAAGTAAGGCCGTCACAAAAGGGCAGATGCTGCACGCTCCCACCTACATGAAGTAGGCAGATAGAGACCAACGCCTCTTAGTGATTACCAGTGGTCGGTGGGAAGGGAAAAGGGGGATTAAAAAAAAAAAAAAAGAATACTCTGTTCAGGAAAGAAAATTGTTTCCTTTCAAGCAGAGCGTTGAAAAAGAAAACTGTTAAGAATTTTAAGATGGCGCCAGCAGAGCATCCCCTTTGCGGGCCCTGTGTGAACGCAAGCTTGCTCGCCTGTGAAGCAGCCCTTCTGGGACCCACGTTTGGGTCCAGGAATGGGCTGTATTAGCTCACCTCCTGGGGCCTCTTTCAAAAGAAGGGGGCAGCGAACCAATCGGGCGAATGGCCATTATGCAAGCTTGTTCTGTTGGGCCCCCCACCCCCATGGGTGAGCAGAGTGGGGCAGGTGGCTGTCCCTTTGACTTCACCTGTGAGGGTGGGGACTCCCCGGCCTGGTTCAGCCGTCTTCAGTCCTGAGAAGCCGTGGGGGCTTGGAGAAAATTGCTTAAGCTCTTGGACCCTTAGTTTCTTCATCTGTGAAATGGGGCCTGGAAACAGCCCTTGTCTGTGGGCTGCTGGGAGGCGCCTCTGAGAGGAAGCTGCATCCTCTCACCATGGAGGTGTGAGGACACTGTGCTACATTTCCTAAGGTTGCTGAGATAAAATACCACAGTTCAGTGGCGTTTAAGAACAGAAACTTATTCTCTCACAGTTGTGGAGGCCAGAAGTCCAAATCAGAGTGTGGGGGGTGTTGGCCCCTTCTGAGGGCTCAGAGAGAGAGATTGACTCTTCCACGCAGCTCTTCAGCCTCTGGTGACAGCTGGCAATCCTTGGCGTTCTTTGGCTTGTGGCTGCATTGCTCCAGCCTGCTCCATGGTCACACGGCCTTCGCCCTCTCTCTGTGTCTCTTCTCCTCTTTTATAGGACACTGCAGATGGGATTAGGCCCCCTCTACTCCTGTGTGACCTCATGTTACTAGTAACATCTGCAAAGACTCTGTTTCCTAACAGGGTCACATTCACAGGTACCGGGGTTAGGACTTTAGCATATCTTTTTTGGGGACAGGACTCAGCTCATGACACCCTCCAAGAGTGCACCAAGGTGGCAAGGTCACATGGGGAAGAGGCTGGCTTCACATCCCTCCTCCCCATTCTCCACAGAAGGTCTTTCCAGGATGGAACTCTCCACTCCTCGCAGCCCTTCTTGGTCGTATTTATTTTATTCTAGTGCTTTGATCTATAAAATGCCTGTCTGTACTGGGAAAATCCATTCTCAGAAGGTGCTGGCTTCTTCCTCACTTTTAGTAGTGAAATATGGTGTTTAAACATTTCATTGGCTTGTGGTAAATGTTTTATTAAAGGAACCCATTGGCTGGAGATCCATGACTTGGCTTGGCAAGGGTTTGTCTCCCCAGCGGCTCAGGGCAGCTGGAGAACATGGGAGCATTGGAGCCAGGGAGAAGCTTCCGGGCCCTCTGTCCAGAAATGACCACCATGTGGTCCCAACACTGCAGACCTGGCCAAAAGGGTGGGGGCCAAGTGGGGAATTGAATGTTGGGCTGGGGCTTCTCCTTCTGCAATCCGTATGCAATAATAATAATAATGAAAATAATAATTATAAGAGCCCAGTGCTGTGTTAAGCACTATATTTTCATTACTGTGTTGGCAGACTTCACCCCTCCCTTCTCTCTGGGGCTTCCAGACCCACCTCCTGGCCCTGGAGCTGGCAGGGCTGCTGGGGCACAGGCTGAACTTCCAGCTCCCCTGGGGGGCTCCATCCTTCCTGTGGGTCAACACACCTGACCTCTGGCCCACTTGATGCTCACTCCTCCCCTTCCCCAAGCAGGCTCAGAGAAGCGTGAGTTGACTTCCAGTTTACAAAGAACCTTTGAAGACCCTGAATCCTTCAGCTTCTCAAAAACACGAGGAGGTTAGGACCATCCTTTCCTATTGAGAGGTGAACAGGCTGAGGCTGGAAGACAAATCCCAGTGGGTGTGAGACACCTCCTATTTTCCCATCTCCCTGCCCCCCACTGTTGTGACAATGACAATGATGCTGGCTGTGCCTGGCTTGGTGCCCCCAGTGCCTGGACTCAGCACCAACTTGCAGTCCCAGCAGGAAGCTGGTCCAAAGCTCCAGTGATCCATGTGTGTCCCTGTCCCCCAAATCTAGACATAATATATGAAGCAACAGATTTCAAGACCCTGGGACATCAAGCAGCAAAGGACAGTGATTGATCTTGAAGAGATGGTGATGGGTGAGGTGAGACCGGCAACTGCTCCAGCTCACTGCTGAAGAGTTTCCTGGTTGTAACACAGGGAGGGGGAGCCCAGGAGGAACCTGGCTGACTCTAAGAGTTGAGAAGATGGAGCTGAGGGTCTGGGAAGACCAAGGCATCTGGAGTTTGCAGGGCAGAGCACTGGAGAGGAGAGAGCAGCACAGAACAGGAGATCTGCAGAGGTTTCCTTGAATGTCCACCAGAGCACCCATCTGTGCAGGTGTGTGGGTAAAGTACCTAAGGAGGCCAAGGGAAGAACCACTGAGAGGATTAGAGGGAACAGTACTTGGAACTCACCACGAGCAGGGAGTAGTCCTTGTTCCCACCAGCCAGACTGGAAAACCCCAGGATTCATGGGCACTGGGTGGAGTACTCAGAAGGCTCTTCCCTCAGTAGTAGGAGTGATTAGCCCTCTGCTGAATACTGTGCTGGTTCTGCCTAATAAATCTTAAAAGCAAGACCTGGGATGATCAAACTGTTTCCAAGTACCTTGACTATGTCCAAAACAAAGCTCAAGGGTATTTGTATAACTACAGAAATATTCACCATGCAACAAAGTAAACTTCACCATGTCAGGCACTCAATAAAAAATTACCAGGTCCACAAAGAAGCAGAGAAATATGACCCAGTATGAGGATAAAAATCAATCAGTTGAAATCGACCCAGAACTGCCATCGATGTTAGAATTAGCAGACAAGAATGCAAAAAGCTGTTGTTACATCTGTTCTGTGTGCTCAGTAAGCTACAGGGAGTATTGAACCAGGGCTTCTAACCAGTTCTTTCTGGCTTGAACCCCTGATGAGAATTTGCATTTCCACCCCTAGATATACTGGATCAGAATCTACATTTTAAAAAGATCTCCAGGTGATTCTTATGTATAATAACATTTGAGAACCACTATTCTGCTAGAGGTTCTCAGAATTGGTCCCTAACCAGTAGCATTAGCATCGCCGGGGAACTTGTTAGAAATGCAAATTCTCAGCAGGGGTCAAACTCGAGCGAACTGGTTCAAAGCCTTGGATTGAACATATTAGGTAGAGACGTGGAAGTTATAAAAGGGGCCCAAATTGAGCTTTCCAGATGAAGATTACAAGCTCCGAGATGAAAAACACACGGATGGAATAATGGCAGACTAGATGATGCAGAAGAAAAGATTGAAGAGCCAAAGACACAGCGAAAGAAACTATCCAAAATAGAACACACACAGAGAAAAAAAAAGAAAACTCATAAAGGAACAATACATCAAAGAGCTGTGATCCAGCTTCAAGCAACTGGAATCCTGGAAAATGAGAAGAAAGGGGGTGACAGAAAAAATATTTTGGAGAAATAATGGCCAATAAATTCCCAAATCAGATGAAAACCATAAACCCACAGATTCAGGAACTTCAAGGAACCCCAAGCACAAGAAGCATAAAGAAAGCAACTCATTATGAGAAAATTGATCACAGTCCGTGATAAAGAGAAAATCGTAAAAGGAGCCAGAGAAAAAAGACACATTACATACTGAGGAACAAAGACAACGGTGACAGAAGATTTCTCATCAGAAACAAACAAGAGGACAGTGGAGCAAGGTCTCTAAAGCACTGAAACAGAACACAATAACAACAACAAAACTGTCAACCTAGAATTCTATACCCAGTGAAAATATCTTTCAACAATGAAGACGTTCCCGGATAGAACGGGAGAAAAGTATAGAACAAAACTCAAATTCCTAAAAAAAGGCCAGACTTCCTGGACTGACAGAGATTAGGGGAGCCCCCGAGACTATCACCCTAAGATACCTTTTGAACTTGGAGCTGAAGCCACTCCTAGAGGTCACCTTTTGGCCAAATGATAGATTGGCTTATAAAATAAACAATATCACCTGTGAGTACTGTGCTCCCTTGAACAATCAATTATATGAGACCAAATGGTCAACATTTACCCCGAGGCAAAAATCAGTAGGCAAGGAAGGGCAGGGAAGCTAGATTAATGGAAACAGAACAAACAGAATGGAAATAATGAGAATGCTGACACATTGTGAAGAACATAACCAATGTCATGGAAAAACTTGTGTGGTAGTTGTTGAATGGGAACCTGATTTGCTGTGTAAACTTTCACCTAAAACACAACAAAATATTATTTAAAAAATACGAAGATGAAATAAATGTTTTTAGATATACAAAAGCTGAAATAATTTATCACCAGCAACCTACACTACAGGAAATGTTGAAGGAAGTCTCTCAGGAAGAAGGAAAATCACGCCAGATGGAAATATGGGTCCACACAAAGGAACAGAGAGCGCTGGAAACAGTAACTACGTGGGTAAATCCGTAAGATTATTTTTTCTTATAATTTAAATGACATTAGATAATGTCTGTTGAGTGCTTCTGTGTACCCAGTATTTTCTGTATCCTATATCATTGCATTTTGCTAACAACCCTATGGGGCAGGTACTGTCTCTATCTCCACCGAACAGATGAAGAGACTGAGTCTTGGAGGGTCTCGTGACCTGGACGACAGAACACTTTACAAGAGAAAAAGCCCAGACTTGAATCTGGTCACCTTTGACTTCCTAAACAGTACAGTCCACCA